CCTCTTTCATGTGAGAAAGGAACTTTTTTGTTTTAGCCATTTTTATTTTGTTTTTTTCTGTGTTCTTGTATTATTTTGAGAAAAATTTCTTGAAGTTTAAAATTTTATGAGAAAATAGTATGAGAAAACTTAATCAGAATATCTTGGGGGGCAGGACCTGGAAATCTGCATTTGATGGGCTCCTATTGGGGACCAATGCACACTGAAGTGTGAGGTTGGATGCTTATGAATCAACTCTCTCATAACAGTTCTTCAGGAATATATATACTCCAAGAATAGGGGACCAGGAAATTTGGATATAAAAGAAGAGGAGCATCTTTAGTAATTTTTTTTTTTATAGATGCCTTTCTTTGAACCTTTATTGCTTAAGAGTTCCAAAGTGAAACTGTTTAGGTAGCAAAAATTCTGGCCGAAAGGAAATCACCAGACAAACTGAACCAGTGTCTATGAGTTTATGGCTGTGTTGGGGCTAGAGTTTTGGTCTCTGACTCCTGGCTCTCTGACCTATGGACCCCGAAGCTTCCCTGAAAGCTCTAAAAAGCTATTCTTTTTCCAGAATCACAGGTGAAAATCCTCCAGCCTATCTACAGGGTGTGAGATGGCAGCTCTTGAGAAGCATGGCTGGGGTTGGGTGCAGGGAAGTGAGGTTGGGTGCAGGGAAGTGAGGTGTGTCCAATCAAAACAGTAAGGGGTAATCTAGGTCAGCAGCCCATCCACATAGGTGGCTGAGGCCTCGAAAGAATCCAAGTCATCCCATGTGATGCATATCACAGTTTGGAAGGTCAACCCCCTGTTCTGCTCACCTAAATCTTTGCCAGGATAAGGCAATTTCAAGTGAAGCATGTCTGTGTCTAGGGCCTTTCCAAGCCATTTATTCAGTAACAATGCATTGGAGGAACTGGCTTCACCACCCCCACCAAAATGCTTGTTAACTATGGACTGTATGTGAATGATAATACCTTAAATGGGAAAGCAGGAGGAAAACAGTGTTTAAAATGCAGAGGGTTTGTGCAGATTATAAAACAACAAACAAGAAGGGAAAATATAACCCAGCAATTAACCATAAAAAAAAACAACAACACACAAAAAAACGCAAAACACAGTGGTGTTTTCTAAGTAAACGTGCACACTTTTCAATATTAAAACAGGGTGAAGAGCAGAGGTGGGGTTTAATAAAACCTACTTTCAGGACTTGGCTTTGTTTCTGTCCAGCTTGCCTTCTGGGAGTGAGCATCCAGATACTTTTGGAAAAGAAGATATTCCAAAAGTAATTCCACTCTTCTCTCTTCTTCTACCTTCATAGGACCTACCTTTAAATATTATTGTTATATTCTTTTAATTTCAGTAAAATATATATTCCACCACTACATGAGAAGGCTTATTAATGAAGCTAAGCAAAGTAACCGCTGGGCATTAATCTCTTAGGGGATGGGACCATGGACATGCCCAGACTTGTCTTCTTGCTACAGCTCACTACTCAACAACATTGTCCTTCAATGCCATCACAGAAAGCTCCCGGGCCACCAACTCTAAACTATAAATGGACCAACTGCTTTAAATATTTCTGCATGCAATGAGCATGTACTCATGTAATTTACGGTAGTATCTAGTCACTTTTTTGTACGGGTGTCATATTTCCATAAGGTGCCTCTGCTTTACTCAGATGAACTGAAGCAGGGCTGCCATATTGTACAACTCCAGGGGGTGGCATTCACATAGTAGTCTGTGGTGCCCTGTGAGTTGTATAGTGCACAAAAGGAGCAGCCTTGGGTGGCAGCCCTGGTTATTAAAGTCACCAGGCAGGCCCCTGGGGAATTGGGTGTGTGCTGTTGGAAGAAGGCTAACAAATGCTTCAAGGGCAGTGGTGGAGGACATCAGAATTGGAATGGGGCAGAGTTCATTCTGTGTGATTATGAGGTGAGATTTATATCACCTGCCAAGTTTTAAAAGAGGCTGGTGAAAGAGATATTAGGGCCATGCTTCGTGGGAGGCTTGGGTTTGGGGTGTGGTTGACCTCAAACCCCAGAGGGGGCTGGGCAGTAGCCAACATGGTACATGCATTCACTAGTCTACAGGTTCTCTGAAGGTGTGTCAATCCCTTGCTGGACAGGGAGGGAGGTTTTTTTGTTTTGTTTTTTGTTGTCGTTGTTTTTATCTGGTAGCACCTTAATGTTTGGGCAGAGCTTAGAGCTTGCTTTCTCTGCAACCTGAAAAGTTCCCAGTGAGCATGCTTCATGGAGGGGCTCTCTTCTGCCAGCAGAGCATTCAAGCCAGCACTCATCTGCAACTGTAGATCCCTCTGGAGATCCTAAATGGAGCTGCTGAATCGTTGTCATGGTTACCTGGGCCAGTTTCTGAGGCCAGAATGTTTTTAAGGAGGGCAGCCCTGAGCTGGGTATCCTGGGTTTCTGAGCAGACAACTGACCCAAGAGAACTGTTTCCCACTTCCCTCTCCCATGCTCCTACTCCCTAACCAGGAGTCTGACGTCTATAGTGATCATCTTAGTTTCAGTCCAGCCCAAACCTACTGCCCACATCTGATTTAGTCTTAAAAAATCAGGCTGACCTAGTAGCATCCTGACTGTGGCTCGGGTGTGTCTCCTTCTCTACAAACCAACACTGGTTCCTGGATTCAGTCATGCACACAGCTGCTTCTAGGCAAAAGACACTTGTGAAATACAAGTTCTCTATGCTTCATATGTTAATAAGAAACTAATATATTTTTTAAACCTCAGCCCAGCACTTCACATGTAGCTCATGTAATTTACCAACCTAGTGAGAGAGGAAATATCATTCATATTTTATCCATGAGGAACTAGGGGCTGGTAGAGGTAAAGCCCAGGGCAGGACAACTAGGAAGTAGCAGAGGTAGGATTCAAATTACAATGTTGGGTTCCAAAGATAGTCCTTTTTCTTTCAAGTCATGGCTGCCATTTTAGCCACTGAGAACTGGTAGCTGCAAAAGACTCAACCATCTACTGGGTACTGACCATTCATTCATTCATTCACTCACTCAATGATGTTCTGAGTCTGCTTTGTGCCAGACCTTATGCTGGCCACTAGGGACACAAAGATAAGTCAGATAAAACCTCTGCCCTTAAGAAACTAACCCACTAACAACTAGCAGTAATTTAAAGAGAGGAATCTACAAGATTTTAGAGAGAGGGCAGTCAGGGAAACCATTCTGGAGGAAATGACACCTAACTGAATCAGCAAGTCTCAAGGTATGTCCAGTTGTGGGGAATAAACAGCAGGGTAAGACCCTATGCTCAAAGAACTCGAAGTAGAGTTGCAGAGGTTAAGATTCATGGTCATGATACAAGGAAAGAGAATAAAAATCACTTCTTAAGGCTCTGAACAGGTATTCTACATGGAAGTGTTGGCAGATTGAGAAACTGAGGCAGCAGAAATCAGGGCCATTCAGGGAGGGCTATAGAAATGAAATGGAAGCCACCTTTGTTCATAAGGGTCTTCTTAAAAGTCTTTGATCTCTCTTTGTTTTCCTACTCTGGCTCTACTGTGATTTCTTCTCTTCATTTCTCATTTCCTTCTAAAGGAAAACACTTATTCAATGTCGTTAGAGCCTGTGCTGAGAGCAAGGCATTACCCTAGTCCCTGATGGTGGTCCTAAGCAGAAATGTACAAAGATGAACAAGACACACAGTGGAGCAGCTACTGACAACCTAAAGGATAAAAGTTTGAGAGATGTGAACTCCAAATCAAACAGCAGAAGTAATGAAATAATTCAGACTTGGAAAAGGGATTGTCATTCAAGGTAACTCCACCGTAGTGGGTTTGTTGATTCATTTTTCTCAGCATTCATTCAGCAATGCCTCCTATCCACAAGGTCCTCTCCTCAGCGAGCCAACAGTGGAGACCAGGTCTGGCAGACCTAAGGCGCCATTACAATCATGTGATAAACGAGCATGAAAGACATACACACATAGGACTTACGAGCCATGTATGCTCGTAAGAGAATTCAGAAGACAGAGCCGGTGGTAGCTTTTGAACGGATTCCTACAATGAAACAGGAGTCTACCAAGTGGAGAAGAAAGGAAAGGGCATGTTAAAAGGCACTGAGAGTATCTTTGGAACAGCTTGGTATGGGGCATTTGTTCGGAGATGAGGTGTTAAAATGCACCGCCCACAGAGCGGAAAGGCCTTGAATACCAGACCAAGGAGTTTGGCCTTTTTCATAGAAAGAGATCTGAACAGGTGAGGACCACAGTAAGATTTTTGTGTTGGAAATGTCCCTCTGGGACAGCCTGTACGGTGGACTAGAATAGGATGGAGAAGAGGGCTCAACTACCTACGCTTACCGCAGCTGTATCTTTGTGCCTGACAGACTGCACCAGACGGGTAACTAAGCCAAGCTGGGGAGTGGGGGTGGGGGGATGGAAGGTGAAGGGAGAGTCCCGCGTGAGGGCTACAGGCAGGACAAGGACGTACGCAGTTCTATGCACGGCGCAGCGGCTGGGGAGACCCGCCTCCCCTTCCAGATCCCTCTGGGGCGGAGCTCGAGCCAAAGCACGTGATGCCTGGGGACCCACCTTTACTGTGGGCAGGCGTCCCGTTCATCCGCGGTTTCATCGGTCGCCCCTTGGATCCCCAAGACTCTGACTCTTTTTCTTAGTGCTCGAGGGATCTGTTCTCTTCCGTGCATCCCTATATGCAACTCCTGCAAAGCGTGGTGAGGGGAGAGAAACAGCGAAGGAGTCCTTTGCCCATACTAAAGATGGCAACCTGCTGCGCTCACTCTGGGTGGGGGTTCCAGGCGCCAGGCCTCACTGGGCGAGGCCCAGACGGAAGAGGCGTCTCTCGAGATAAGTTTTCGACCTTCCTAGGAGGGGACCTGATCCGGGGGCGTGGCCTCGTCTAAATTCTAACAGCTGATTGGTATTTCGGGAGGTGGGCGGAGTGCCCTCGGTACCCCACCCCTCCCTCTTCGAACCGGAAGTGTCTCTCGGTCTTTCCAGCTGGTTGTCATTTCACTCGGCTCGGTCCTGAGGAGAAGGACTCAGCCGCGGCTGCGGGACCCAGGCACCGGGAGGCGGTGGCGGCGGCGGCGGCGGCGGCATCGGCGACAGCAGAGGAGGAAGAGGAGGAAGAAGGAGAGAAAAAGAAGAGCCAGGCGGAGTCCGCAACAACGACAGCGGGGACTGCGGGACCGGGGTAAAGCTACGGCGGCGGCGGTGGGGACGACGACGGCCCAGCAACCGTGAGGAGAAACAAAAGCCTTCTAAATTATAGATTTTTCTAAAATCTGGGGGAAAAAAGAGAGAGAGCACAAAGGGGGGAGGCCCTTCTCTTTTAGAATAACTACACTAGTGGGTTTTCCCTTTTTTTCCTCTTTTTTTCCCCCTGCGGAGAATCGAACTGAGAGAACTGAACAAACCGCCCCTGGGTCCCATGAGGGAAAAAAACCCCGGAGCCGCAGAGAGGGGAAGAGGCCGAAACCGCAGGACCTTCCAGGTCGCCCCGTTGGTCCCCGCACCCCCGGGCCGCCAGCTCGCTCTCGTCGAGTCTCGCTAAATCCTTCCTGATCGCGATCCCCCCAAGAGGGAGAAACGGGTGTTTTCAGCCCATTTCATGGGGGAGAGGAGGCCGGGGGGGAGCCCAGGAACAGCGACCGTAGCAAGATCTGCACCCAGAGCCTCAGGAACAGCCCCAGAGGCCAAAACTGCACCCCGTGAAAGAGCAGAAACAGGACCAGGAACAGCAGAAACCTTCCTGCAATCATCTTTCCATTAGTCAATGCTGATTTCCTCTCCCGCAACCAGGAATTCACCTCCCACCCCAGATAACCTAATATAATCTATATATATAAATATATAATATATAATGTTCTTAAATTATTCCTGATTTTTTTTAACCAAGCTGCCAAGAAAAGAACGTATTCTCCTCTTAGCCCTATTCTAATTTTTATGTGAGTGAATCTAAACTGCTGAGGAAGACCATATGTGATTGTTAAATTATATATATATATATTTTTACTCCGCGCAATGCTTATTCTTCTACATCCATAGATGCTTGAGAAGCTGTGTTTTTGTCATTCATGTACATTTTCCTTTGGAAAAAGAAAGCGCCTATTTTACTAACCAAAGACTTGATTTTTACCCTCTTCGTTTTTATTCCCTCCTAGAAATAAGCCCAGTTGGATTCATGTCAGTGTGTTAAGAGATTTTTTTTTTAGTTTTTTTTTTTTCCTTTCAGAGGCCAGAATTCCAAATCAGAACTATTTCAAGTGATAAGCTGCGATCTTTGAGCTAGCTATAAATAAGACATTTCAAACAAACAACTGAAATTTTGGGTAGAGGATACAAAGACGTGAGACATCAGGTTGTCATTTTTTATTGTAAGAATCTGATCCTAAAAATAATAAATGGGGGATTACGGGTTTGGAGTGCTAGTGCAAAGCAATACTGGGAATAAATCTGCTTTTCCAGTCAGATTCCATCCACATCTGCAGCCTCCACACCATCACCAAAATGCCACCCCCAGCCCTGCTGCTTTTATAAATAATAACACAGCTGCCAGTGGCAGCAGTGCCGGGTCAGCTTGGCTCTTTCCTGCTCCAGCTACCCATAACATTCAGGATGAGATCTTGGGGTCGGAAAAAGCAAAAAGTCAGCAACAGGAACAGCAAGACCCTTTAGAAAAGCAGCCGCTCTCCCCCAGTCCAGGTCAGGAAGCTGGAATACTGCCTGAACCCGAGAAGGCAAAATCAGAAGAAAATCAAGGGGACAATTCTTCAGAAAATGGAAATGGGAAGGAGAAAATAAGAATCGAGTCACCAGTGTTGACAGGGTTTGATTATCAAGAAGCCGCGGGGCTGGGTACTTCGACCCAACCCTTGACGTCTAGTGCATCGTCTCTTACTGGTTTCAGTAACTGGTCAGCAGCGATAGCACCTTCTTCCTCTACAATCATCAATGAAGATGCAAGTTTCTTTCACCAGGGAGGGGTCCCGGCTGCTTCGGCTAATAACGGTGCTCTGTTGTTTCAAAATTTTCCCCATCATGTCAGCCCTGGCTTTGGAGGCAGCTTCTCCCCTCAGATCGGGCCCCTCTCACAGCACCACCCTCATCATCCTCATTTCCAGCATCATCACAACCAGCCTCAGCAGCAGAGGAGGTCTCCTGCCAGTCCCCATCCCCCACCTTTCACACACAGAAATGCTGCTTTTAACCAGCTGCCTCATTTGGCGAATAATCTTAACAAACCCCCCTCTCCATGGAGCAACTACCAGAGTCCCTCTCCTACACCATCTTCTTCCTGGAGCCCGGGAGGTGGTGGATATGGGGGCTGGGGAGGTTCCCAGGGCCGAGATCACCGCAGAGGGCTGAATGGAGGAATAACGCCCCTGAATTCCATCTCGCCTTTGAAGAAAAATTTTGCAAGCAATCATATTCAGCTGCAGAAGTACGCTCGCCCCAGCTCTGCATTTGCTCCTAAATCCTGGATGGAAGATAGCTTGAACAGGGCTGACAACATTTTTCCTTTTCCGGTAAGATTATGTTCCATTAATAGATTAAGATGAATAAGGAAATTGTATGGTGTAATATCTATTTAACTAAGAGGTTTGAATGGTCCATGTACATATCAGAACTCTTCTTAGAAAATGAGTTGATTGCCAGACATTATTTTGGCAGGACAGGAGTATAATTGGGAACAAAATATTCAGCTGTTTCTTTGATAAATTTCTAATTGTAATCTTCCCCATAGATAATAGTATGAATTGGTATAATTATGACTACCAGGTAGCTAGTGATGTTGGAATTATTAACTATAATATCTTTCTAGCCTGACAGGATCATCAGGGTTGGTTTTTCCTACTTTTTTAGGTGAGAATAAATAATATATAGATACAGTATAATTCATTGTGCAAACCGATGATAATTTTCTGCTCAGATGAAGTAACTATGTAACAAAAAAATTCATTTTTTTCCTCCACTGTAGGATAGTGATTTACTGAAAACCAACTATTGAATTACAGTTTTCTCACTGGTTACACTTTAAACCTAGAACCTCTCTGAACCTTGCAGTCTGAACAGTCTGAATTCATCAATTCAGCAATTCCTCTTAAACCTCTCTGCAAATTCTGGCCTGCCCTGTGTCAGTAAGGACTGGTACAGAAATGATCTAAATGTTTTCTTCATCCCCATTTATTTTCAAATACCATGAAACTGTTGATCTCAGAGTGACTCTTTTTATGATGCCTTTCATCCAATTGTTTATTTTCCAGTGTTAACACTAGGGGTGTAGATAAACCATTCCTAAAAATAGATTCAGGCAAAGATCACTTGTCTTTCTTGCCACCAGTGTATCCTTATTCTGCAAGAGTCACATGGTTTGATGTTTTTGAATTAATGAGCAGCCAGTCTAGGTGATAGATATGAGATAAAGGGAATTTCATAGTTAATTGAGCATCAGATGCCCCACTGAGTTTGTATATTTGAAGGTATGATTGTTTATATGTGTTTAGGAAATTTATATGGGATAATAAGCTAACATTGAATCAGTCCTCACAGTGACCCCACAAGGTAAGTTCTATTATTATCCCCATTTTGCAGATGAGAAAATTGAGTATCAGAAAGATATAACTTGCCCAAAAGCACACTGCTGATAAGAGTACAAAGTCTAGGTTAAAAAACAAGGATTAAAATATATATCTGTATACATATGTACACATATGTATATGTATATACACATGCGCCACAGATAGAGGATTATTTTAGAGATCTTTCTGCAAGGACTAACACAGATTACAAGACAGTTGCAATGTCCCCAAATATGATGTCAGCACAAGCAGAACTATCTGTTTGATTAATAATTTGCTTAGTGGGAGGGCAAGTTTGCTAAGAGAATCCTGTGTCATTCCAAGGAATTAAAAGTCCCTTCCCTGAAGGATTCAGGTGGAATAGTTAGGATGTATCTTAAAATATTTGATTTAGTTTTAGATTTTTAAAAATAATTTTTTTGCCTACATATCAGAAAGCTGTTGGCTTTTGCTTTTAAAAAGGGTTTTTACTGAAACTGAAGAGCAATTATCTTGCATTAGTAGCTAGGTAAAAGGCTTTTAGACATTGGTAATTTCATGAAGTCTATTTTTAAAAAGTTGCTTTTAATATTCTTTTGAACGTAAATTTAAAGAAAATTTAGTGCAAAGGTGACTTTTTTGAATTATTCATTTGTTGCTAATTTTTAAATCTAAGGTGGCATTTTATACATTTTAACTGGATTAAGATTGGCTCAGAATTGAATACACTTTTTTCATTTTGCTACAGTACACTGACAGAACAAACTTATATGACTGAACTTATATGACCTCATTGTTTATTTTCCGTTCTCAGTTTACTGACTTTTGATGAAGGTTTTGCTTTGGGAAAAATAAAATTTCAGAAAATAAATGAACTGTATACATGCATATTCTCAGTATTTTGGGGGGCTAATGGAATGTGTTTACATGTGAAATCTTTTGGATCAGTTGGAGATTAAGCTGGTTTATGAAACAATAATAAAATTAACTTAAGATTGCTACTAAAAAACTGTTAGAAACTAACTCTTCCCTTAGAATTGTTGTTGTCTTATGCTGAGGATGGAAAAAGGATGAGTCAATATACCTGGCTCAAATATGGTAGGATTAGGAAGTAAATTGTTGATTTCTGCTCATCATCCCCCACCACTTTTAGAAACAGGAGGGGAGGGTTCAGGGAGCCAGGAGCAAGTGTGGGGGTGATTTAAAAGTCACACTGGAGTTTTGGGTTTTGAAAAAAACACAAGAAGTTAGTAAACTGAATACTGTATGCTTACTTAATGTATGTAGTTCTGTGTGTGTGCATGTGTGTGTGTTTTAACAGTTACTCTTTTGAATTGGTTTTGGCAAAAAAAAAAATACAGTTTTGGGTTGGTATGAATTACTTGGTTAAATTTGATATGAAAAACGTGAAGGAACATTTATTTGACTGGGAGCCTGGAAACTAGGTGTGCTCTTTGCCCTATCAGTATAACATTTGGGGGCCTCAGTTTCTCCATAAAATGCGGGGGGTGACGGAGGTGATGTCTAAGTTCCTTATGGTCCTGAGGTGAGCTCCTGTGAAATTGAAATTGCTGCAAACACAACCACACTTTTGAACTGCTGCCATCTTATTTAAATCTATTACCCTAAACACTATTAATTTTAGGAAAGAAATTTTACAGATGTTAGTAGTTCAGTTTTAATGGCTATTGTCAAGAATTCCTTAGGTGTTATAGAGAGATCTGGAAATATACCACAGAAATGACAGGATCCAGCAGTATACATGGCTACATTATAATATTAGTATTATTGAAAGGAAAGAATTTACCTGGTACGTAACTAATACTGGGCAATGTTTGTTTTGACCCTTACGTTAAGGAGAAAAAAATCCTCCATGTCCTGCCAAACACATCCTGGAATTCCAGTGTCCAAACCAAATGATATATTGGGGCACTTGCCAATAATTTTATTTGAATACAGCACTTCTTTGGAGGGGTGCCTAGATCTTCTGTCCTTACAGGAAAGTAAAGGAGAATTGTGTAGAGTATATTCTGATAGTCTCTTATCTTCAGCTCAGTTATGCTCACACCTCCATTAGCTAAAAACCAGGAAGTAGGCAAAAAAAATAAAAAATGAAAAAATAAAAAGGAGGAGGGTAGACAAAATCTTTCACAAAGACCATCCCTAAAACTTGATAGGGAGACATTTTAGGATTTAGAACCCATTTGCTCTTACTTCAGACACAGTCACCATGGATTTGTTAAGTTGTCTTAGCCAGGCAAATAATTCATGTCACTTTAATAACTCTGCTTGTGTTGTCAGTTTATTGATCCTTAAAATTATATATGGCATCTAATATTTGAAAATAGAAAGTTACTGCGTTGCTTCAGTTCTGAAAGTCATGGTGAATTATTACAATTGTCTAAGTATAACCTCATTACACTTTTTGGTTTTTTATATAGTCCCAGGAGGGATCTTTGTACGGGAAACATTTTCTTTGACTTTGTATTTATTTATATTAGAAGAAGGGAAATTAATTTCTTTATTATAAAGTATGGGTTGGATGGTTTTGGCTCCAGCATAATTGAGAAAAAACTTTGGGAAAGCATACCAGGTACAATTTTATGCCTTTTTGTAGAAAGCCTTTGAACTAGGTTTAATTGCTTTTCTGATGGAATCAAAACTTGGGCGGGGTAGTGTTTTTTGATTACTTTTTGTTGTCTTCACAGAAGCCATGGAATATGATCAACACATTGTTCCACACCTTTCAGGAAAAACCTATTGATAGCAAGCTTAGTGAACTGTTGCAACTAGAAAGATGCTCTTAGTTCATGGGTTTATGCTTTTAAGAATAATCCTTGTTGGTGTTCATGAGAAAGAAATGGAAAAGTAATCTTAAAGTTAACATATGCCTAGTTTAAATTTTATAGCCTATATTTATTTTTTTTATGACTTTATCGTGCTATAAGGAAAATTAGCTTGAAGATCCATTATCACATTTTTTTCAGCACTACATTGTACCTCAGGTTTTGGTCCCATCACAGATAAGATAATGTGTATAATGCGTTTCTCTTTAAGGCAGGGAGCTCATAACATGAGCATTTGTTTTAATATTTCCTGACAAACTCATTTTATATTTAATTGTTCAAAGAAAATTACTCTTGCAGAAATTAAAGTATATTTTTACCATGATAAATTTATAGCAATCTGTAATTTTTTTCACTTCAAATTTAGTATAGATTCTCATCACATTTTATATTATTGAAACAAAGAGTTCCACTTTCAGGTTTTCAGAAAATTCTTAGTAGATAGAATAATAAAGGTATAGTCCTATTTTTAATCAGTTTCTGAAGGTGAAACTTGAATAATTACTGAGATAGGTTATTTTCTGAGGCCAAACATGTAGTAGAGTGAAGCATAAGCTCTGGATCCAAGCAGACTTGAGTTTGACTCTGCACTGTAATTAGCTTTGTGACCTTGAGCAAATTGCTTAAATTCAGGAAGAAAACCTCATCAAGGTAATAATACCCAATAGTGAAGGGTTTTTGTGAGGCACCTTAAGTATGTGGCCATAGTAGGTAGCTTAAATTTTTTTTTAATTTAAAGTATGCCTCTCTAAAATTTGTAAAATAATGAAATTAATTACAAATATAGTATCTATGAAAGATTTTGAACAGTCCTTTGTATTGCTTATCTTATTATATGTACTTTACTTCTTAGAGTACTCCTTTTGAATAAGCTAGATGTAACCTAGGACAGATAAAACATTTAGCAGAATTAATCAGTTTTCTTGAGAAGTTTTATAATTGTATATAACTAAACTTTCATTAGTATTGGTAGACTGCATCTTTCAGTATTTTGAAAGATTTTGCCTATGGTTATTTTAAGAAATTTAGAACATTTGATTGCTTTTGTATACATTAAAAGAGACTATTTCAAAGGAGAATTTGTGATTTTTTTGGATAAGAGATAGGAAGAGTTACCATAGG